GGATGGATGGATGGATGGATGGATGGATGGATGGATGGATGGGTGGGTGGAAGGATGGATGGATGGACAGGTGGATGAATGGCTGGGTGGATGGATGGAGGATTGGATGGATGGACAGACGGATGGATGGACAGATAGACAGATGGATGGAGGGTTGGATGGATGGATGGACGGACAGATGGATGGATGGATGGATGGATGGATAGACGGACGGGTGGATGGATGGAGGGTTGGATGGATGGATGGATGGATGGATGGGTGGCTGGATGGACCGAAGCAAGATAGACAGAGCATGTTCAAAATGGTCCAATGCAAAGGGCTGTAGAGGATCAGAAAGGTATAGGGATCCAGGTAAAGAAATGACTGGCAGCTAGAAAACAGACATAACAATTATTGAGAAAGGCTAATGGAAAGTTGGCATTAATCATAAGGTTGCTGCTCTGAAAGGCAGGATGTGACCAGTGGGATCTGCGTTAGGGCCTCAATTATTCACAGCATTTATTAATGTCTTGGGTAATGGCATAGAAAGTCTTATGTCCAAATTTGCTGATGATACAAAGTTAGGCAGCATTGTAGATAGTGTAGCTGATAGTCTATCAATATCCCTTTGTAATTTTATGAGAAGTGAATGAGCAAAACTGTGGCAGATGGAGTTTAATGTAAGCAAGTGCGAGGTTATACAATTTGGACCAAAAACAGATCATGTCATGAAGAGATGCAGAAAATAGTCAAGAAAGCTAATGGAATGCTGACCTTTGTATGTAAAGGATTGTAGGACAAGGATGCAGAAAATATGCTGTAGCTGTACAGGGATTATGAGATTATGAGTTATTTATAGTCACATATATCATAGATCATAAATCATCATAGATCATAGAATCCCTACAGTGTAGAAACAGGCCCTTCAGCCCAACAAGTTCACACTGACCCTCAGAGCATCTCACCCAGACCCATCCCCCTATAACCCACCTAATCTGCACATCCCTAAACACTATGGGTAATTTAGCATGGCCAATCCACCTAGCCTGCACATCTTTGGAATATGGGAGGAAACTGGAGCACCTGGAGGAAACCCACATAGACAGGGTTACAGGGATAGGGTCGGAGGATGGGTCTGATTGGGGTGCTCTTCGGAGGGTCGGTGTGAACTTGTTGGGCCAAGTGGCCTGTTTCCACACTCTATTAAAAAATTTAGAAAGTTAAGGAGTGATCTGATTGAAATCTTCAAGATATTAACAGGTAAAGACAGGGTAAAGATAAACTATTTCCACTGGTTGGGGATTCTAGAACGAGGGGCATAATCTGAGAATTAGGGCCAGACCGTTTGGGAGAGATGTTAGGAAGCACTTCGACACACACAGGGTGGGAGAGGTTTGGAACTCTCCTCCACAAACAACAGTGGATGCTGGATCGGTTGTTAATTTTAAATGTGAGAGAGATAATCTGCTGTTCAGCGAAGACATTAGGGATATGGGCCAAAGGTGGGTATATGGAGTTAGGCCACAGGTCTGCCATAATCTCACTGAATAGACTCAAGGGATTGGATGGTCTACCCCCCAGGTCAGATTCTGTCTTGATTCCTCTCTTCAGTTCTGGACACCTCAGGTGGAATTTTAAGGCCTTTGAGAAGCTGCATTGCAATTTTTACCAGAATGGTACTTGTTTTGAGAGTTCATTGAACCTGTATTCCCTTCAATCTGGAAGATTATGGTTGATCAAGGTATTGAAGGTGATTAAAAGATTGGATAGAGCAGTGAGATAGGAGTTAGTGACAATTTGTGGTGGTGATGCAGGGTGGAGTACAGCACAAGGAGCTGAGCATTAAAATTAGGAGGAGGCCATTCAGGGTGACACCAGGAAGCTCTTATTCCCTTAAAGTGTATTGAAAATCTCAAAATCTCTCCACAAAGAGCTCTAGATGTTGGAGATCAAATTTCAAATGAGATTGATAATCTTTTATTAGTACATTTTAGAAGTTACAGAACTAAGATCCAGTTAAGATATGAGCCTCCCCTGATTGAAATGAATGGAAGAAGCATCTAAAGAAGCCATGTGATCTTTTCTTTAATATTTGTTTGTGGAGCACACATGTCCCTGGCAATGCCCATCCCTCGTTGCCCTTGAGAAGGTGGAGGTGAGCTACTTTCTTGAACCATTGCAGCCCATGTGCTGTAAGTAGACCCACAATGCCCTTAGGGAGGGAATTCCAGGATTTTGACCCAGCAACAGTGAAATATTTCCAAGTCAGGATGGTGAATGACTTGGAGGGGAACTTGGAGTTGGTATTCCCCTGTATCTGCTGCCCTTGTCCTTTTATGTGGTAGAAGTTATGGGTTCAGAAGGTGCTGTGTAAGAAACTCTGGTGAATTACTGTTGTGCATGTTGAGAATGGTACACACTGCTGCTACTAAGCATTGGTGGAGGGAGTGGATGCTTGTAGATGTAGTGCCAATCAAGCCGGCTGCTTTGTCCTGAATGGTGTCAAGCTTCTTGAGTGTCATTGGAGCTACACCCATCTAGGCAAGTGGTGAATATTCCATCACACTCCTGACTTATACCTTGTTGATGGAGGACAGGCTCTCGGGAGTCAGGAAGTGAGCTAGCCACTGCCTGTTCCCAAACCTCTAACTTGCTGTCTTAGCCACAGTATTTTTTCTGTTATTACTGAGGTTGGAGGAATGCACTGTCACTCTAATCCACAGAGTCACAACACAGAATGAAAATACTTTTCTTATTACCAAGACGAATAATTAATGAACATATCTATATCAGGCTTAGAAACAAAAAGATCAACGATGTTTCTTAATAAACACAATTATGGGCTGAATCAGTGAAGGTATAATATTTGGCTAACATGCGCAGTTAGTAATCTAAAGGTATAAAAGCCTATCCCTCTAAATATCCCCAAAATACACAAACAATCACACACTGTCCTCAGAAATAGGAGAGATGAGCTGGGGATTTTGCTCATAGCAGAGTTTCCTGTGACTGAACCAGATACAAGCAAGAAGCTCTCCAGGCCCTTGGCAGAGTCTAATGCAAAGCAACCAGTTATGTTCTTTCTAGGAAGCCTTGTTTAAAAAGAACTCTAATATCCACAATGAACTTTCAATGACCTTGTTTAAAGAAACCAGTTCACGTATGTTCAGAAAAATTTAAATAAGATCCTTTCCCCACAAGTCTTTAACTTTGTAGCAATGTAACTGGTTCAGCTCAGTTTCTGATCAATGGTAATCCCCAGGATATTGATATTGGTGGTGTAGAGTTCGGCTTAAAAATAATAACTTCCCAAATCAGATTTTTAAGGGCTAATTAGACATAGAAACAAATAATTGAAGGAAAATAAACGAAAACAGGCTTAGTGTAAAAGTTAGGTTCTGAGGATGGACCTGAAACATTAACTCTGATTTCTCTCCACAGATGCTGCCAGACCTGCTGAGCTTTTCCAACAATTACTGGTTCTGTTAGTGGAAAAGCAGCCTGTTTTGGCTGGAAGGCAACTGCAATGGTCTTGTATTGGGAATAGGCTGTTTTGCAGTGACACCTGGATTTGTTTTGACCAACAAGCCCAGAGGAACGCTTGGGAAATGTACTCAGAGATGGCAATATCAAATTCAGAACAGTATTCATACTGGGGACCTTTCACCGTTGGTCTGGGGTTGACAGACTGGTGCCCTAGAAACTGAGATAGAGCTCCAAGTACCAGCTGTCACCAGAAGTCCCCAGTGGGCAGGAGGCAATGAGACTTGCTTGATGAACATGTCTAAAGTAGTTCAAGCTAATAGATTCACTCATTAGTTTGTATATGTCCAAGTTAGATTAAGCTAATAAATTTACTTTATCTCATAGTGCACATCTTGTTGTAATCATTCTGATCAGATCTTAAAGAGCCCGTTAGGCACTTTCAGCCTGTCAATACCTGGGCATTCAGTGATGGTAACACCACTGAATATCAAGGGGCAATAGTTAGAGTCTCTTGTCTTGGAGACAGTCATTGCCTGGTGCTTGACAAATATGAATGTTATTTGCCCCTTATCAGTCCAAGCCTGGATAACATCTAGGTCTTGCTGCCTTTTAAAGTGGCTGCTTCAGTGCCTGAGGAGTCACGAATGGTGCTGAACATTGTGCAATCATTGGCGAACATCCCCACTTCTGACCTTATGATGGAGGAAAGGTCATTGATGAAGCAGCCAAAGATGGTTGGGCCTGGGACACTACCCTGAGGAACACCAGCAGAGATGTCCTAAAGTTGACATCACTGACTTTCAATAACCACAACCATCTTCCAATGTGCTAAGTATGACTCGAGCTAATAGAGAGATTTCCCCCTCCCCTTGATGTCAAGGGCAGTCACTCTCACCTCCCCTTTATGTACCAGTCAGTGATAACCATGAGGAAATAATGACATGATGGCTCAACTTCCTTGGTTTTATGAGTCTTTGTTTTTCTTGGATTTATGATCTTTTGCGAGATGAATGATGATTTAACAATGCCAGGCAATTAGGTAATGGCATTACATCCAGAGCAATACACAGAGTTACCAATTTGTGCTGGATATATTCCTGGAGACTTCATGACCGCTGGCTCATCCAGTCAAATAGCCATTTTCCAATTTTTCAATATTTTCATCAACAAATTATTCAAACAAAGTGGAAAAATACTCTTTAATTCGATGTTGATGTGATTATTCTCCTGAGTTGCAGAATCCAGGAAATTAATCTTCAATTTGTGTGCACTCCAGGACAATCCAGAAGGTTTAGTACCAAAAATATAAAATCTAGGGAATATATGAATGGAACTGTGCCTGAGTAGCACTGGTTAAGGTTTGTCACAGTTAAACTCACTAATTAATCCTTCTTTTCCTTCTGCAGTGAACACAAACACCATCAGAACTGTCACAAGAACAAATTGGCTGGAATTACAGACCATCTCCTGAGTCACTATCAGTCCACTTTCACTCAGCCTCTGAGTAAGAAGCCTGAAGTACAGCTGCTTCTAAACTTTACCTCGTCTTGGCACAATGACCTCTGCTTTGTTTGTTTCTTATTTCGCTTGATGTCGGGTGATGGTGGGAAGTGCAGTGAAGCAGGGAGACAGTTCTGAACAGACTTGAGAATCTTGAAGATGAGACTGGGGCAGATTGTGATGAAGGGTAGGGTGGGGTTGGGTTGGGGTGGGGAGGGGATGGGTTCTCCACACACACTATCTCTGGAGACAGTTCAATTTGTGGGCTCTGATCCCCAACATTGTCAGTGACTTCCGAGTTCAGTCACTTCAACCTGGGATGGAAAGGTCCTGGTGTAGGAACCACTCTGTCTGAGACTGGCAGCTTTAGCATAGCGTCCTCAGTACCCAATTCTCCAGAACTCCACAGATTAATCATTAATCTCCTAGATACTGCAGGAGGGAGAGACAATAGAGAGAATTGTGGGTTTTAAAATTTTCTTTAACCTAAGCAGTATTATCACAATCACATACATTATTGTAAACAATTTCATTCTGAAGGCCAGTTCACATTGCAGCTTTACAGCTAATTGCATTTAGGTAGCACCACACCCCAAGGCATTACACTAGACATTAATAAACTTGACAAAGTCACTATAAGGAGTTTTGGGAGTAGATAGTGAAAAGTTTGGATCAAAAGGTAGGTTTTAAGGAGGTGGAGAGGGCATTGAGATTGAGAGGGTTAGGAAGGGGTTAATAAACCTTAGTGTCCAGGCAGTTAAAGGTACAGCCACGGAAACAGCATCAAGAACCCAGAGTACCCAGGGCTGGAGGAGCGCTGATATAGCAGTAAATTTGCAGGATTGGAGATTACAGAGAGAACTCCTGGTGCTTTCTGGCTGAGCCTCGAAACTGTGAGGCTCAGGTCTTTCTCCTCCAACAACTCAACATTGTGAGGGCTGCAGTAAGTTTATAACTTAATAGATTATCTACTCATTATCATTTTGTTGTTTATGGAATCTTGCTTTGTATGAAGTTTGTATGAACTAGCTGCTACATTTCCTGAAATGTTCTTTGCTGTAAAATGCTTTGGAATGTACTGAAGGATAGGCGCTACAAAAATGAAAGTCAAATTCTATTCTCATCACCCCATTAAGTGGAGCAGAGCAGGATTTTCCGAGTGACAATGGAGACTCAAGCCCTTTCTGATCCTTTGCAGATCCCCAACCCCGGAGCAGCAAGAGGCCATTCCGCACGCCCCCATACCAGAACCCGCCGGCCATGCAGGTGGAAACCACACAGCGAGCTGCTTTTAAACACAACCCACTCAGTCAACAAGGACGGCTCTGTACCACGGTCAGTCATTCCAGCTGCTCATTCAGTGACTTCACCGTGGGGTCCAGGGCAGGGCTCAGACCAACACTGCAGGACTGGGGGGCGAGGGGGGGATCAGTCCCCTGGGGCAGGACTGGGGGGCGAGGGGGGGTCAGTCCCCTGGGGCAGGATGAGGGGTTGGTCACTCCCTCAGGGCAGTGAGGGGGGGGTCAGTCCCTCAGGGCTGGGTGAGTGGGGGGTTAGTCCCCCAGGGCAGGGTGAGGGGTGAGCTCAGTCCCCTAGAGCAGAGTGAGGGTGAGTGTGGGGTGTCAGTCCGCTAGAGCAGGGTGAGGGTTGGGGGTAAGTCCCCCGGGGCTGGATGAGGGGAGGGGTCAGTCCCCTGGGGCAGGATCTTATGAGGAAGGTCTTATGAGGAAAGGCTGAAGGACTTGAGGCTGTTTTCGTTCGAGAGAAGAAGGTTAAGAGGTGACTTAATAGAGACATACAAGATGATCAGAGGATTAGATAGGGTGGACAGTGGGAGCCTTTTTCCTTGGATGGTGATGGCTAGCACGATGGGACATAGCTTTAAATTGAGGGGTGATAGATATAGGACAGATGTCAGAGGTAGGTTCTTTACTCAGAGAGTAGTAAGAGCGTGGAATGCCCTGCCTGCAAAAATAGTAGACTCGCCAACTTTAAGGGCATTTAAATGCTCATTGGATAAACATATGGATGATAATGGAATAGTTTAGGTTAGATGGGCTTCAGATTGGTTTCACAGGTCGGCGCAACATCGAGGGCCGAAGGACCTGTACTGCGCTGTAATGTTCTATGTTCTATAGGATGGTGGGGGGGGGTGAGCTCAGTCCCCCGAGGCAGGGTGATGGGGGGGTTCAGTCCCCCAGGGCAGGATGAAGAGGGCGGGGTCTGTCCCCTGGGGCATGATGGCGGGGGTTGGTGAGCTCAGTCCCCCGGGGCAGGGTGATGGGGGGG